TAAATGTCTGTCAGGTCAAATTGATTGACAGCAGTGTTCATGTTCTCCTTGTCCTTAATGACTTTCACTGCTTTTCATTCTTTCTTTTCTCTTTTTACAGTAAAAGAACTTAATTTGGTTATAATTTAAAATTTTCTTATTACCAAATCTTATCATGTGGATATATCAGGAGTTAAATGGAATTTTCTATTCCAAATACAACATCTGGAAGCCTTGTTGTATAGGAACTTCTTTCCCTATGTCAAAATTGCACTGAATTATTCAATATGGTCATGTTCTTTAAAACTCTAAAACCTCATTCATTTGACAACTTCTTATTATTTAGTTCATATTAACAAATGGTAGAAAGTGAAAGTCAATTTTTTACCTATGTATTATATTTTTTATTGATTCTTTGGGAACTTCATACCGTACACTCTAATCCCACTCCTCTCCCAGACCCTCCATATCTGCCCCTACCTCTTGTAGAGTCCTGCCACAAAGGAAAGCAAAAAAGGAATAAAAATAAGATAAAAATAAACAATAATAAAAAAGAAGAAGAAAACAGTAAAGCACTTTGTTCCCCCAGGCCCCGTCTTTCCCACCTCTCCATCAACTCTCCATCACCTCTCCATCACCTCTCCATCATTAGTGGCATTGGGAGCTGCTGTATCATGCAGGTCTAGTATTGACGGTGTACTGAAGCTAGGGGCCTTGAACCTGACCAACACCTGCTACACAACGAACATTTGCAAGTGAATCTGTTGGACTTTCCCTCTTTTTGTTCTGTTGACTCCCATCTCCAACTTTAATTGTGGAATTGTCAGTTTCCATCCACTTTCTCATCCAGGTTGGAGGATTTGTAGTTAAATACTTTGCAAGTGGAGTGTTCTGTCTGCCTGGAAAATTGATCCCTTTTCACCACACACATGCATATTATAATATTTGTGTTATTCAGAATAGATACTTTCCCTAGTAAAACTTACTGTCCAGCAATTTACTTTGGTAGTAACATGGATACTAGGGCGTTTTTAAGAATTCTGCCTTTTCCTGCCTCATTACTCTGACACTCTGCCCATACATTTGTTTTCTATTCATCATAGAGTGAAATCCTGTGTGGTTGTTTATCTTCTCTGGTGGTTTCTCCCATCTAGAACTTAATGTTTAATGCACTTACATTTTTAGTTTGAGTCTTCTCTCTAGATTGTGTTAAGTTCACTGTTTCTGTCCAAAATGTCTTTTGTGTCTGGTTTTGCGTTCAGTTTATCATTCTATTTATCCCCTCACCTACCTTGTTATTTAGACATCTTTTAAAAAAATTAATAGCTGCTTTTCAGGCACTGAAGGCCTGAGAGCTACTAAACTCAGAGCTCCTTCCTTGCTAAACATGCCAGAAAGCTGCCAGACCTCTGGAGCTCATCCATTGTGTGTTATATCAGCTGAGCCAATAATAGTTTATATTTTACACATTATTTGTGCCAAAATTTCTGTCTTTTGTTATGGTGGAATTCAAGACCTTTGTAAACCTCTCTTAATTAAATACACATGATGAATGACAATATATTGATGGAACACTGTGACTTTTAGTGAGTAAAACTAATGAAATGCTAAGAAATCCCTTATAATGTTTAATTTTTATGCAGATATATTTGCATCAACTCTGTACAACTCTGTACAGATGTCTTGCATGATCCAATTATTTTATATTTCCCTGGTATTATCTTTTTATGGTTCTGGTTTCCCGAATGACCTTATAGTACTTATATTCTGTTTGGTCACAATCCTTTTTTCTTACAACTGAGAGTATGACAATGAACTGACATCATGTACTGCATGGTTGCAAGCCTCTCTGCCTCCCTGGGTCCATAAAAATAAACTTAGAAATTATTAAATGATTTGAAAATTGCACATATGTGATTAGACATGTAGGTATGTACACATGAGTGCAGTTTCCACAGAGACGAGAAGAGGCTCCAGATTCCCTGGAACTAGAGATATTGGTGTTTCATTTTGGGTCACTGTGATGGGTGATGGGAACTGAACTCAAGTCCTTTGAAAGCATACAGTGTGTTTTTTCTGTTAGGCCAACTCTAGCCCCATCATTCAAAAACATTAAGAGAAGTTTGGAAGATAGTAAAAATGTAGTCATTATGTTTAGTTGTTTAAAAATATATGAGCCCTTGTGCAAATAAGTAATTCTTTTTCTGTTTTGTTACTTCTAAAATTAATCTTATTATTCTGTACATTTTAATTATAAAAATAAGTCATTTGTTTCTGTACACCACCTTGTTTCCCAGTTATACTCCCTCCATTTAAAATATTTCCCCTCACACTTCCTCAAAAATTTTAACCCTTTTTCCTATTTTTGTAGATTCCATTTATGAGAGAAGATATATGTTAATTATTTTTGGAGAGTTGTCTTTTTCTAAACTTGTTGATACATAGTTGGAACAATTTTCTTGAGAACCTTACAACTTTTTTTCTATAATTTTTATTTTGAATTATCTTGCATTATCTATGGATATTGTGTGGTCTTTAGTCATTCATATAATGGTGGTTCTCTGAGACCAAGAGTGGTACAGCGGGCATGTCTATGTTAAATTTTCATTCATAACCATCATTACAGTGTCCACAGCACCTGGAATGTTTTAGTTTACAATGAACATAGTGTGTATGTTCTTGTTCCACCTACTTTGCAGCACTTAAAAAATTAGATTTGGTGAAAAATTTAACATTTAAAAGACACTTAAACCTGGAATTATGGGTTAATCTGAATATTATTTTAATAATGTGACAAATGGGTCTGAGGACCCAAAAAAATGACCACAGAATCTATAGTATTTGAGCCAGGCTATAAGTCCTGCTGAAAATTTATTCTAATTGAAATGGTTGCCATGTATTATTCTTAGTGGTCAGAGCTTGACCTCATATTACTGCATGGCTGGTTACCTCAAAGTGGTCCATTTGGTAAGGAGAATGTACTTGTGAGTACCTAGTTTAACTTTGCCCCCATATTTGTATTTCACATATTTGTTGGCATTTGAGATACTGTCTAAGATATGCTGATTGTGAAAAATTGTTTTCAGCATGCAGAAAATGAAACTCTGCTCTCTATCTTCTACCATACACAAGCTCTGCACCAAATGTGCCATAGACCTGATACCCTGAAAATGCCAAAGGACACAGTAGAGAATATACTCCCAATGCTAAGCACAGGTAAGGATTTCCTGAATAGGACTCTTGTCCAATAGTAAATGAGACCAAAAATCAACAAATAGGATCTTATGAAATTAAGACTTTTTATTTTAGCATAAGAAAATATAATTTAAGTGGTAGCATATAGAATATGATAAAATCACTAGTGTAATAGTGGCATGAGTGTTATTGCGTAATTAACTTCCTTCTGATCTGGTGAGGCCTGCACTATAGGAAGGAATTAGTACCTGGTACTGCGTACCTGGTCAAAAGACACTGGCTTGACAGGTCATAATCCTTTAGATGATGCTGCTATTGTTACTTAGTGTAGTAGCAACTGCTTTGTAAATATTTTTGTTTTACACATAGATCTCTTCAGCTCTCAGTCTTGGCCAGGATGTCAACTTATATTTGTACATGAAGTCTGTGAGTCTAAGTTCTTCAATAAACATTCTTCTGTGTGTCTCTTTTGAGGCCTTGATTGACTGTAAACATCGAGTGAAATTGAGGTATGGGATCAGTGTGCCTCAAGGTTCCTTCTAACTACCAAATATGTTAATGATGTCCATTTGCTTTCAACTGTAAGGGAGCTTTCGGCTCAAGTGAAAACAATTGAGGTGTTTCTGGCTCCCTTTTGGTTAGGGTGTTGGATGAAGAAGAGAATATTCTGCCCACACATCCTTAAAGTTCAGGGCTTCTGAGTTTAATTCTTGCTCAGTAGCCTGCAGGTTTCCAGTGATACCAGTTTATGGTCAGGATGTTTCTTCTCTTGGATTGCCTTGTCTCCTTTCACACAGGGCTTGGTCCTTGGCTACTTGATATCAGTGTTTGGCCTAGGAAGAGTTCTTCACTGTGATTGGAGCAGGTTCCATTTAAATTGTCTCTTCAAACTGTGCTTCCTAGGGTCAACATTAAGTCTGACCACATATCTCTCATTGGGTTGGCAGGAGCTCCCTTGATTTTAAAGTTTGTGGTTCATCTTCATGAAGGTCTATTGTTGGCCTGTAACATTTCCACTTTTGATTTTGCCTGGCTTGTTCTATGAGTTTTGTATGAGCTCTGATTTCTTCCCAGTCAAAATTTGCCCCAGACCTGCTTCTTCATTTGGTCCTTGCAGAACGTCACTGGTCGTCCTCTCTCCCTGTTTTGGTTCATTCTTTTGTCATGGTAAGTGTTAGCACTCTTGCATTCTCCTTTTCCTGCTTTGCCCCCAGCTTCTTTCACTTGGATTGGTCTGGGCCCACGTCCTTCCTTAGTTTGGCCCAGTCTTCTTCAGGGTCAGAGGTGTGCTGAGGCCAACTTCTCATCTTGGTGAAGGCCCTGGCTTCAGTCCAGGTAAAGTTGGGGCATGGATACTCTCCTTTTCTTTCTTTGAGCCAGGTCTTTTTCTTCTGAGGGATAGGGTAGAACTCATCTCCCTCTTGGTGGGCCAGCCTTCTTCAGGGTCAAGGTTAGGCATGATTGTTCTTTTATTTTCTTTTTGTTTCAGTTCATTTTGTTACTTTTCCTTCTTCTCCTTTGCCCTTGGCTCTTCCATTTAATGGACTGGTCCAGGGATACCTCTGTTTTTCCTCTGAGCCAGAGCTTATTCAGTTTCAGGTTTTGGTGAAGGCCTCTTTTAGGTCATGGTTTGGCCTTTCATTCCTAGGGTTGGTCCCTGGCCTTTCTGGGTGAGGTAAGCCATTGCTAATGTAGGCATTATTTCTGGTCTTCATCAGATTCATCCTTAGGCCTTGGAATACTTCTCTCTTGACATCTCGGTTTAATGTTTAATCCTGGTCTACTTTCACTTTAGGTGCTTAGCATGGGTCTTTTCAGGGGCCATGTTGGCCTGGGGTACTTTAAGGGTGTGGCTGTGTCCAGGCAGTTTTTGTGTTAGAGTTAAGCCTGGTTATATTGATATTCTGGGACTGTTGGTACCTGTTTCTCTTCAGGGTTGAAGCAGCGGATACTTTTGAGTGGAGGTTTGACTGTAGCTACTTTGTATTTGTAATTAGCCTTAATTATGCTCAGCCATTCTGAATAAAAATAACATGTGGATATTGATAGAGGACTGTATTTATTGTTCTTCCCTTACATCTCAAGTATATCTTGAGGAACATTGTCTCTTTCCAAGGGAAATGGGCACAGATACCGACACACTGCACAGACTCCAGATGAAATAAACTACATATTACACAAATAGAAAAGGGAAGTAGGGAAGAGACAGTGGTGCTTGGGAGAGTCCTTGCTGTTGCATTGGTGACTGTGGCCAAGGTAAAGAGGCACCATGAGCTCATGTGGAAAATTGTTGCTTCTCAATAAAGATAACAAAATAGAGTCCCAACAAGATCCCTGCTGCCTTTCCTTCCATTATCTGCTCCCATGAAGTGATATCACAGCGAGGTAATATAACAACAGAGGCTGGTCCTCCATTGATCTAGATGCTGCCTTGATAGGCACCTGAGGATTGTACAGATCTTCATGGGGCCTCTTATGCAGTGTGGGCATGGTGTCCTCTCCTGTATGTCATTTATTGCATGCACTATGAGGGTGTTCCTCTGGTCCTTGCTATGGAAACACTTCTCAAAATGTCATTTGTCTTCTACCTTGAAAATCCCTGGAACAATGAACCATGCCTTCGTGATCTCTTTCAAGAAATCTCCTTGTCATGTCCACACACTGATGTGAGATCAGGTCTTCCCACAAAAATGTCTGCACTGACTGACAATAAATTGATTCCTGCTCATGTTATTATTGTTGTGAATCACAGCCAACTTTAATAGAGTGAGCTGCCATCCTGTCAAGCGCACACATGTAACCATGACAATGATTCCTTGTGTAGTGTCACAGAAGCCAGGCCACACTCTGCTCAGGGAAACACATAGGTGGTGAAGCTATGCAGATGTCTTTTGACTAGTAATTAGGGGAGGTGCCTGAAGGCTTCAGTTATCACCATTGCTTGGGGACAGTTTCCCATCCCATCATCATTTCATACTACAGAACTTCACTGCTGAGAAGAGGAAGGTCATTGGGGAAAGGTCAGACTCAGTCCATATGTACACGGTTCAAATATTGGTGTATCATTTCTGATGCTCAGTTTATCATGAAGAGTGTCTCATTATGAAGCTTTTATTGTGCCATATGCAGTACCTGGGTCTTGGGGGAACAGAGCTGTTTGAAATGTGCCATCCAGCCTGTCCCTTCACCATCATTAAACACACCTTGAAGTGGGATTGACCAGAAAGCAGAAAGCCATGAGGCTTTCCATACCTCCTCTCATCATGGTAGTTGATCGCTTCTGAGGCTGTCACTCACTGGATAGCAGGGTAACAGCAGTTCATCCTGTCCCATTCGGAAAGTGGAGTCCTGGGACAGGTGGTGCCTCTGCCTCAGCTGTTTTCATCTTTTCTAAGAAACACTAGTGGAGATTAGGAGTAGAAAACAATGGACATATCCCACTCTGGGCATACTCCTTCCCAATCTCCCACTGTCCTTTGCCTTCATGCCTCTCCCCTTCCCTGAAAGTTTATCCCTGAAGGCTGGTCTCAGATTTCCAGCAATCCTTCTTACTCAGGGTCCTTAATTGTTGGATTTCCTTTTTATTCTTCTTTTCCATGGATGCTTTTTTTCCTGCCCTAACATGACATTTGAAGGACAATGGGAAGGAGCCATCTTAGAGATCTGAGGAGTTAGACAAGGTATCACAGTGTTCCATTCCTCTTTCTTATTGTGGAAGGAAACATACACTTAAGAATTGTGGCATACAAAAAGAAAGAGAACAAAACTAAATTAACATCTTTTTCTACTGGTCCTCAACCATCAAATCTCACTTATAAAAGAAAAACTGTGGGGAAATTCTTCCTATGATTTCTAGATTAAGTGTAAGCATTGTGCTACCCTCAAAGCCTAACAGGATTTAGGGAGGGTGGCCTCAAGGCTCAGAGGTTAAGAGCACCAACTGTTCTTCCAGAGGTCCTGAGTTCAATTCCCAGCACCCATATGGTGGCTCACAACCATCTGTAATGAGATTTGGTACCCTCTTCTGTGTACATAAATAAATAAATGAATGAATAAATAAATAAATAAATAAATAAATAAATAAATAAATAAATAAATAAATAAATAAATAAAACAAACCAGCTATCTAATCACAGAGCTTGAAATCCTTTTCCTGTCTGTAGCAGCAGAGTCTGGAAGAAGAGAAGTTATACAGTTGCCCAGCAGAGATGCCCCTTTGCTGTCTCAGCCTAGATGCCTGTGGCAACAGTTGCAGTAGGAACAGCCCACCTGGAAATCTTCCTGTCAGCATCATTGGAACCTGGGTACCCACAATTTCCTGCTCTTCACCAAATTCTTGATAGCCAGTAAGCATAGTTAGACTTACTTGATGAGGGTGATTTCCTCTAATCTGAAAGTGCAGTGGAGGAGGAAGGAGAAACTGAAAACTTATCTGTACTTGGTGTCAAATGGTATCTGAGGGACTTAACATGTGACATAGATTGTAAATATCCAACTAAGAAAGATCCTGAAACATTGACACGTTGTTAGTAACATGGTAGACAACATCAGTGCTCTAGAAGCATGCAAGTTCCATGCACAGAGTGAAGCATGATCAAGCATGCCCACCCCAC